GGATAGGAAGTGTTGAATCTGTTGGTGCATGTCAGGAAGATGGGGCATTGTTTGCACCCTGTTGTTTGGAGAGCTTAGTCAAAAAGTGGGCCTTGTCATGGTGCGCTCATGAATTGAAGCAAGATGCTCGTCAATTGAAGTGAGATCATTTGGGGAGCGAGAGGGAGTCCTTTCTTCCTCCTCTGCATGCTGAAATGTTCTGCCTGTGTGATGTAGTTCCATATTAAATTTGCCCCTTGAGTCCTACAATGGCACAGTATTTTCCGTCAAGCTCGAATTGCTTGTTGAAGTGGCTACTTTATGCATTCAAAACGTTGACTGCTTTTGGTTCACCCTTCCCCCTTTCCTACTCTCTTTTGCTAAATAAGTTGGCAAATGTTGCCTGCCAGCAGTGTTTTGCACAAAAGATGAAACGTAGAGAGGGGAGTGGGTGGCTTACTAACCATTTACTTTGCCTGCCCCTTTTTTGTTTTCTTGTAGAGGACAGACTGGGGTGAAACGGGCCCTGCACAGAATCAGAGTTGGAAGGGACCTCCAGGTTCCTTTCCAAGTCTGTGATTCTATGTGGAGACCTTCGTCTTTTGTTACCTACAGTTCTTCTGGAGCTTGTTTAAAACTGGAAACTTCTAATTGGAAACCAGAGAATATCCGACTTTGCAGGCATGGGGAGTGGTTGATGTGCAGCAAATGGATGGCTATCTTCAACTGGACACACTTTCCTTCGTGCTGAAAGGGGAGCAAAATCCTTTGCCCTAGTATGCTTATGAACACTGTAGAACATTATAAAGTACAGAGAGGCACCCTGGAGCCCCTGGAATTGAATCCATCCCAGAGGGCCTTCCTCATCTGGCTTGCAGCAGAGCCCCCGATAGCTCTTGCAGCAGTTTCAAAGGGCTCTTTTACTTCCCCCACACAATAAGAACAGCAAGAGAGTCTCTACTGGAGTTCTGCCTCTACATCCCTCCGCTTTTGAGTCAAATGGGAAAGGGGTTCTTGAGGTGGAGGATAAGGAGCAAGCTTTGAGTGGAGCCTCTGTGGAAGAAGAGCCCTTTGCCAATAATGAAAGCGAGGCTGTCCAGAGTTAGAAACAGTGTGGTGTGAGGCTTACAGTGCCAGTCTGCAGCTAGGGGAGACCCAGGTTTATATCTCCACTCTTGCATAGCTCCCTGGGTGACCCTGGCCAGTCACACTTGTTCAGGCCGTCATGCCACACAGACTGGCTGTGAAAACAAAATGGAAGCGAATTATCCTGAGCTTCATGGTGTGTGTGTGAAGTGCCGTCGAGTCACTTCTGACTTCGCAGCAGCCCTATGAATTCATGACCTCCAAAATTCCCTACCGTTAACAGCCTTGTTCAGGTCTTGCAAACCGAGGGCCTTTGTGGCTTCTTTGACCGAGTCAATCTATTTCATGTTGGGTCTTCCTCTTTTCCTGCTGTCTTCATCTTTTCCTAGCATTTTTGTCGTTTCCAGTGACTCTTGTCTTCTTATACTGATCTGACCAAAGTATGATAGCCTCAGTTTACTCATTTTAGCTTCTAGGGAGATTCCAAGCTCGATTTGATCTAGAACCCACTTATTTGTCTTTTTGGCGGTCCGTAGTATCCGTAATACTCTCCTCCAACACCACTTTTCAAACGAATCAACTTTCTTCCCTGTCAGCTTTTTTCATTGTCCAAAAGCTTCACGGAGGGTGGAACAAAAATGTGACAGATAAGGGGAGGGGAATGTATGTGCAAGAGAGGGCAGCCTGGGAATTTTGGTTCTGTACTCTTTTTGTGGGCTGCGGTGGCTCAAGTGGTTAAGACACTGAACTGCAGACTGGAAGGTCGGTAGTTCAGCAGTTAGAGACCTGAGTGTCGCTTGACGGAGTGAGCTCCCGTCTCTGGTCCCAGCTCCTGCCAATCTAGTGGTTTGAAAGCAAGAAATTGCAAGTAGATAAATAGGTACCACTTCGGTAGGAAGGTAACAGCGTTCCGTGCGCCTCGGCATTTAGTCAGGCTGGCCACATGACCAGGGAAACATCTTTGGACAGCGCTGGCTCTTTGGCTTGGAAACGGAGATGAGCACCGCATCCCTAGAGTTGGATTCGACTGGCTTTCAAGCAAGGGAAACCTTTACCTTTACTCCTTTTGTATAATCACCTCCGCATGTCTCTTGATTGTTACAATCTTCAGCCTTGAGGCTTGGGCAAGGAATGGCAGATGAAGGTCCAAGACCTTGAACAAAAAGTCATGGCAAGAGCTGGATTTGGAACCTGGGTAGCTTCCACACGTGCACACACACCCTTTATGTTGCTGGGTTCATAGCCAGTAAAAACAGGCAGGAAATCTGGATGGGGACTCTGGTCTGGCAGGCAGCCGTCCTCAATATTGGAGGTACGTTTTGGCTGGGCAGACTTGGGTGTTACCACATCCATTTCCCACTCAACAGCCTTGTATCCTTAAGGCATCCTTTCTCTTCCTTTACCACCCTCTCTGTGCTATGCTGTAGATAAGCTAATTTGCTGTCAATCCCTTTCAATCTCTGCTCATGCTGATTAAAGAGATTTATTTAATTTATTATACCCTGCCTTTCTCCCCAATGGGGACTGAAGGAGCTTACAAAGTTCTCCTCTTCTCTTTTTTATCCTCACAACAACCCGGTTAGGTAGGTTAGGCTGGGAGAGGGTGACTGGCCCAAGGTCGCCCAGCGAGTTTCCATGGCACAAGCAGGGATTCAAACCTGCGTCTCTCAGATATTACTCCAACATTTGTAACCACTGCACCGTACTGGTGAGTAAGGTATTTGCTTGTGACACTTACACGCCCTTTCCTCCCATCACTTTATTGTGTCTTGCATCTCACCTTTCCTCGGAGGAAGCCAGGGTTGGAGGCTAACAGAAATTCTGCATGTGGAAACGGGAGCAGGAAGGCATGAGACACGTGCGAGTCGTGCGGCAAGCTGGTCTTCTGCATGTCCCAGCTTAACGTAGGCTAAAAGTGACATCACGATCCAGCCAACTTCTGCCTTTTATTTAACATTTCTGTGCTAGATCCATGCAGAAGTGGTAGCAGATGGATAGTCACTGGAAAAGCTATTGCCTGTGAAGGCCGCGTCTTGCCGAAGCCAAGAGTGTCTTGCAGTGTGCGTTTGCACATACGCACTCTCCAGCCTCCACTTGAGAAATGTGCTTCTAGATGCCTTAACTGGTGCAACATTTCTGTTAGCCGAAGACGATCCACAGGAGCAGCTGCCAGCAATTTTAGGCCCGTTTCAGGGTCTGCTGGCTGTGGTTCAAAAAAACATGTAATGTGCAACCTGTCAGTCCAGATTGCTGGTCCTGCGATTGACAGGGAAACAGTCTTTGGGTCAAGACTCCATTTTCTAACCAGAAGAATGGGAGGCTTTAACAATATGTGGCAGCACACCCTTATTACAGCCGTTCCCTTGCCTGAAGATGGGCAGTTTTATGTAGCTGGTAATAAGGGAGGCTGTCTGTCTCTCTGCAGAGGTAAACTTGTGAAGTGTTCCATTCCCCGCGTGGGCCCCCCCCCCGTGGCAGAGGAGGGAAGAATGTGGCTGTCTATGAGAAGTTTGTGAGCACGGGGATCGGCATTGTGGGTGGTGTCTGGGGCCATGTCCTCAGGCATTCTGCAAATGTTTCTCCCAAACTTGGAATCCAAACTGTCGGCAAGAGAATTCGGTGTCCTGAAAGCCTCTTCCGTTGTGTGGGTTTTGTTTTTCAAAACAAGTTTCTAGTCCTGGTGGCTACAACAAGATAGATGAACCTCCATGTTCAGAGGCAGTCAACCTCTGAATCCCAGCAGCAAGAGGCAATGTCAGGGGAAGGTCTTAGCCTGCATGCCTGTTGTTTGGCCCTTCAGATTGGCCACTGTGTGAGGCAGGATGCTGGACTAGATGGACCACTGGTTTGATACAGCAGGGCTCTTCTGATGTTCTTATTCAGTAAAATGCAGTGCTGACTACATATTCTGATGTATTGATATTTCACAACAAAGATCAAGTAATCAAGTGCCCGTCATCGTGACAAGCAGGTTATGCATGTAGAAGGAGAGCCCCTCTGTTGTTGGTACTTTAGAAAAGTGTGTAGGTGGTGTTGGTGGGGAGAATAATAGTGTAGTTCCTTTATCAAGGAACTCCACTCCAAGCCCTTTGCTTTCTTGTGGTCTGTTGATTTATTTGTGTGTGTGTGTGTAGAGTTTGGTAGGATCCACTGAGAACCAAGTGAACCCCAGTTTATATTCCAATCTAAGCCCATCGATTTCTTGTGGTCTGTTGATTTTGTGTGTGTGTGTATATGTGGAATCCACTGAGAACCAAGTGAACCCCAGTTCATGTTGGCTGTCTTCATCACCTGCATCACTTTGCCTTTGGTTTAATTTCCTGGCCACCCTAGTATGAGAGAGAACCTGGGAATTATCTCTTCTCTTTCTCTCAGCATTTGGTGTTCTTTTTTTGCTTCACAGCAGATGATAGATCAAAGCTACCTGTGTATGTGTGCGCTGTGTTCCCTAGCCATGTATGGCTTGGTTTTGAAACCCAAGAATCGCTGAAAGCAGCTTTAGAGGCCCAGGAGAAAAATGTTGATATGCATATCTGGACTCTGGCAGATAGTTCAATCAGTTGGCATTAATTCATTAAAGAAATTACCATTAGTCTTCCGTTTCCTCTGAGCTGTTCTGGGATCAGATTTTGGCTGAAAAGTGGGATTAAAATTATTTTTTTTTAAAACCAGTTGATCTATAGGTAGAGCTTGGACCAATGGGGGGTTGTGAGACTACAGTTTGGTTAGGAGCATATAGCCCTGTTCCCATTTGGATGTGTTGTTATGGTGACTGTGTGACCTTTTTAACAGCTTAATCCAATGTAACTTTGATGTGTTGACCAAAAAGCCCTCCCCACCATCTCCCTTCCCAAATGTGCAGGCATTGCAAAACAATTGCGATGGTTAACGTTTCCTCTTTCTCCCTTTTCTGTTTTCTTCCAAAGAGCCTTTTTAGAACGCTGGGGTTGCTGGAGTGGTCGAATTTTCCCTGGAATTGAGTGAGAAATTCAGAAGACTGAAGCCCAGGCTCACTGTCTACCTTTCACGGAGGCCCAGCCGTGAGAGGACAGAAGAAGGCACGTGGCGAATCATGACAGCGGACAAAGAGAAGGACAAAGAGAAAGAAAAGGACCGGGACAGAGACCGGGACAGGGAACGGGACAAGAGGGAGAAGGTGCGGGAGAGCGAGAACTCGCGGCCTCGCCGGAGCTGCACCCTGGAAGGAGGGGCCAAGAACTACGCAGAGAGTGACCACAGCGAGGATGAGGACAACGACAACAACAGCGCCACCACCGAGGAGTCCACGAAGAAGAACAAGAAGAAACCTCCCAAGAAGAAATCACGCTACGAGAGGACAGACAACGGGGAGATAACCTCCTTCATCACAGAAGACGATGTTGTCTACAGGCCCGGAGGTAAGAGAAACGTCTTCAGAATCTTAGCTCTGTGTTTTGTGTAGCTGCCGAGGTTTTCTTGGTTGAGAATAAAATGCAAGAGCGGTCACTGATGGAAGGTGAAGCTGATTTTGCATTCTCTTTCCATTGCCTTGACATACCGAAAACTCAGTTGTGTATCTCCCAAACTGTTTAATGTGCGAGCGTGAGGGAATATAAGCAGCCAAAATAACAGGCTATTTATCTCCCTCCTAAACTGTGCCCAGCTTCTGCTGACTTAAGGTAGCCACCTCTCTCTGCCTTGTGTCGGAGGCTGCCCCGATTCCATGACTAATCGTAGCTCTTCTGTTTTCTCCAGAATGTGTATATTTATTCTTGGATTCCCTTATCAAAAGAGCAGGTTTACAAGCCCCTACCATATTTGTCTTCAGCTCCTCAGTTAAATCATTGGCATGCTGGAGCAGTGCTGCGAGAAGGAAAGACTGATGTGTTTTCAAAGGGAGAGGGGGAAAAACACCCATGGAAATAAATGACCAGAAACAATTTTTGTAGCGTGTTGTGTTGGTAGAATACTTAAGGCTGCATGCTCTCTTCTGGACACGTTTACAGCTCTTGGTTTTAAGCTATGCATACAGAATTGTGCTTGAAGGTGTGTTGGAGGTGCATGGGAAGCTTGCTATCACTGCAGGTACAGTAGGGTAGTTAAGAGATCAGAGATTCTTCCTCCCCCAGGGTAGACTCCTACCTTAAATTTGGTAAGCACAGCCTTGCAGGTATGTCTAGAAAACCTGCAGCCCGACCAAAAATGTTTGGTAGCCTGCCTTTTGAAACATGGCAAACCTTACCTGCCTGGTGGCTTCAGGAACAAAAAACTCGTTTGCCAAAAGTAACCTGGGCAAGCATTTGTGTTTCAGTTAACGTGCCATGATGTGGGTAAACTAGTCCTTAACTAGCATCAGATCCTGGTTATCTCCAACAATGTGCAAGTTCATCCCTTATCCTCAAGAGGGGAATTAGCTGTAGGGTTTGGGGTTCACAGTCCTCAGCTGTGCTTTCGAGAGCCAGTTTGGTGTAGTGGTTAAGTGCACGGACTCTAATCTGGGAGAACTGGGTTTGATTCCCCACTCCTCCACTTGCACCTGCTGGATGACCTTGGGCAAGCCATAGTTCTGGCAGAGCTGTTCTTGAAAAAGAGCAGTTTCTGTCAGAGCTCTCTCAGCCCCCACCTGCCTGACAAGGGTGTCTGTTGTGGGGAGGGGAAGGGAAAGGAGATTGGAAGCTGTAGTGCCACGGCCAGGCAGTACCACCCCAGACCTCAACCACTTTGTTGCCACCCGGCAGGAGGTTGGGCTGGAGGACTGACAGGCAAGGCACTCTGACTAAAGTTAACAAAACCAGGAGTCAAGTTCTTCTTGCTCCTTATCCATGATAGGCTGCCACCAGACCTGCTTCGTCCAGGACCGCAAGGCACAGGTCAACCTTGCTTCCTTTAGGACTTTGAGCAGAAACCCAAACTCTCTCCAGAGTCAGGAGTTCCACACAATTGCTATTGGTAGGGCCACAAAGCCAACTAGAAAAATCCTTCTGCAAACCCCCAGACTGAAACACACCACACAGGTATGTAATTAAACGTTTTCTTTTAAGGTGCAAAGCAATACCAACACACTGTGCAGAAAATAAAAAAGATTTTTAATATCTCTAGCTTGGATATTATCGCACCGGTGTCCACAGTATTTCTTGCAGCATAAAGAAACAATCTGCTTTCAGCAGTCCGGCAAGGCAGATCACAAATCTCAATTCCTTTAGCAGAGGTTCAGGGTTTCACCCCAACGGAAAAACATTAGCACCCTGTAGCATACCCAGCTCAAGAATGTAAGCTAAGCACTGACTTCTGCAAGGAACTGCATACAATGAACCACTAAAAAAAAAAAATACTGCCCCCCCCCCCGTTACTACAGAAGCTGCTCTGAGGTGCCAATCCAATAAATCCAATTTCCTCTTCTCCTCCTCCTCCTCCTGCTCCTCCCTCCTCCTCTCCAAACCGTGATAGAGTTGAGCTATGTTGTATCTTCCCTGGCCATTGAGGGCGAAATTCTAATGCTGAGCTTCAAGATTAATGATTTGTATTCTTTTCAGCCATGACTTGGAATTTCACTGGTAATTGACCACTCATGGCAGGGATCCAAACACAGGTCAGTGCTGGAACAGCCTGACTTTGGGGTCAGAGGATCAAGAGCTCTTAGAGCAGGTTAAGAACACCTGTTCAGGCTTTCAGCCGTGTGTGGTAGTCACCTCTCCCCCCACCCCTTTCTTTTTATGTGTGAGGAATCGGGCCTAGAATTAAGATAAGGCAGTGCCGGTTCTCTAAAACCAGCAACAGTTATGATAATTGCTTTGGGAGGAGCCCTGGCCCAAATTTTCTTCAAGAGGCTCTTCCCATATCCGCTGCAAATCATTTCTAATAGCAGAATAATTTAGTTTGCCAGCTATACTTGATGGGTTAGTGTTCACAAAGGGGTGTGTGTGATTGGGCAGTTTCCCCCTCCATTCTCTCTTTAACAGAATGCTTGAATCTTCATGGGCTTCAGAGGCCCTTTACCTCCTGTTCATTAAAAATCAAAAATCCCTTCAAACTGCCTTCAGCGTTCTGTGCCCCTAGACAGCAGAAAGCATGTTCAGTCCTCATCAGGCGGCGTACCTAGGGAGCCCCTGAGTGTGCACAAACTGTCCCCCTGCCCCGAGTGGCCCCATTTCAGTGCCCGGACCCATCACTTGCTGCTAGAGGGAATGGTGGTACGTTAGCTTTTCAATTTGCCACATGTCCGGAAATCTTTTCGTTTGTTCTCATGTGTCAGGTTTGAGAGGGAGGTCCCCGTTATTCCCTGTCTTGCAGAGGGGGGCCTGATTCAGCATGAAAGGCTGCTTGGGTGTGGCTGTAAGGAAACCCACAGGGGGTGTCACATGACACACTTCTTCCAGTAATCTTGAGGGAGGAGGCAAGACCCCTCAACTGTAAGGCAAGTCCTGTGTGAGGGCTCTCACTTGATAGATGGTGAGGGAATCCCCGTGGAAGAAGAGAGGTCCTCTTCACGCTGTAGCAAATTTGAGAAAAGCTTTGCGGCATCTGACGGCAAAAGAGATGCAGATCTCTGTGCTCTGGAAAAGACTCCAGGTCCTTCTGCTGTTCCTTTGGTGAAAATCAGAACAACATATCTACTTCGTTGGTGTTGCGCCGGCATCCACTGAGAACACTCACACTGGACAGGTGCAGTAGAAAAGAGCAAGAGTCCAGTAGTGCCATAAAAAGGTAAAGGTAAAGGTTCCCTTGCTCGAAAGCCATTCGAATCCGACTCTAGGGTTGCGGTGCTCATTTCCGTTTCAAAGCCGAAGAGCCCGCGCTGTCTGAAGACGTTTCCATGGTCATGTGGCCGGCATGACTAAACACCAAGGCGCACGGAACGCTGTTACCTTCCCACCGAAGTGGTATCTCTTTATCTACTTGCCATTTCTTGCTTTCGAACTGCTAGGTTGGCAGGAGCTGGAACTAGAGACGGGAGCTCACTCCGTCATGCGGCAACTCGGGTCTCGAACTGCTGAACGACCGACCTTCCACAGCCTGCAGTTCAGCATCTTAACCACTTGAGCCATAAAGACTAACAAAAATTGTAGCAGGGGATGAGTTTTCGCGAGTCACCGCTCCCTTCTTCAGACTCATGGAAATTCATACCCTGCCACAAATTCTGTTGGTCTTCAGGGTGCTCCTGGACTCTTGCTCTTTTCTGCTGCTACAGACAGACTAACATGGCAACCCATCTTGATCTGTCTCCACTAGACAGCTGGCGAGCGTAGGTGGCTCATGCTGTGATCCGCTAACAGAAGATGCTTCACTGAGTGGGGTCTTTCATTCCGCTTTTTTGTGGACCCTCCATAATGCAAAGTGAACCAGGTGAGAAGCTGGTGCTTCAGTGCCGTTTGGAGGAAGAGAGTTGGTGATGGAGATGGATGAGAAGAGGCAGGAGCTGTCCCGGCAGGGCTGTGGACTCTCCCTCTTCTGACCTTTCAGTTGTTCGGAATTGGTATCATTTCAGGGCTTCGTTGGAGTTGCTTCACTGTGCCTTGGCCTCTTAAGAATCTCTGTTCTTCCTCTAACGTTTCTAGACTTTTACATTCGGACTTGCATGAGCAGTGATCACAGGCCAAGGAAGAGCAGGTGGTTGCCTAAATGTTTTTAATCACCCCACAAAAGTTGTGTGCCTCGCAGTACCTGCCCCTGTCATGGATACTGTGGTGCTGTAGTGGTTAGGGTGCTGGTCTGGGCCTGGGGAGACCTGGGTTCCAGTCCCTGCTCTACCACAAAGCTCACTGGGAAAACCTTAAGCCTGTGACACTTTCCTAGCTTACCTCAAGGGTTGTTGTGAAGATGAAATGGAGGAGGGGAGTACCAGGTGTGTGCACCCTTTGCTCCTTGGAGGTGCCAGGTGGTCATCTTGTCCTTTCAGCTTGGACACTTTCCATCTTCGCACTGTGTCGCTCCCTCCATCCCTCTCCTCCTCTGTCTTCTGCACATCCTCTCACTTTGTTCTCTGTCTCGAAGGTTCTTTACCTGCCTATCTGCAGTCAGATATGGAGATGGGTGCTACTTTGCAAGGTGAGAATTGACCACACAAGAGACACTGGAGGGGCATGCAGACCAGTCTCCAGCGTTGGCCTGGCTTCTGACTCAAGGAGTCTCTTGAAGTGTTTGGTTGGGAGTCCCATCCTTTGATGCCCTGGTCTTCACGTGATTACAGTCCTGCTGCAGTTCCTTTCTGCTTGGGCAGAAAGACAGAGGTGGCCATTGTGGTCCATTACAAAATTCAGAACATTTAGAACCGGCCAAAAGAGCACCAAGCAAGCTCTTGAGTTCTCCAGAAATACTCATCGGGCTAGATGCTCAAAAACGAAGGGTTGGGGGAGGAAGAGGGCAAAATCTTTGGGATTTTGGTGGCTGAGAGAAAACCCCCCGGACCGAGCTCAGCTGG